TAATTATAAAAATATTCAACTAAATTCAACCACTCAAAAGTCTAACAGTAAAAATATAATATTTTTAATATCTATCATGATTCATTACACTTACAACTCTTCAATCTCAAAAGTCTAGAGAATAGATGGAAATAGAGTTGGAGAAGAGACGGAGATTGAGCTAGAAAAAAGACGAAGAGTTAGAGACTAAGCTAGAGAAGAGATGAAAGATAGCAAAGACAGAGATAGAGCTGAGAAGAGATGGAGATAGAGCTGGAGCCTGAAGAAGAGACGGAGACTAAGCTAGAAAAGAGACACTGATTAGGTTAGGGTGAGAGAGGAAGAGACACAGATGAAAGGCCGAAATAAATGCTGTCTGAAAATCTGAATTGGATTTAGCGTGCTCTATCTCTAATTTTTATTTTTGACTTTAGGGAACTTTTTTTGTTATCTTATTTCTAAATTCAGTACTTTAAAAATAAAAATGAAAAAAAATTTCAAAAAAAAATACCCGGTTAACCCAGTCAACCCACCGGGTTAACCGGTTTTTACCGGGTTGAACCCGGGTTGACCGGGGTTACACCGGTTTATTTCGTCACCGGTTTTAGGAGTAAACTCAGACCGGACAGGGGACCGGGTCACGGTTTCCGGGTTGACCCAGCCCGGTCCGGTCCGGGTTTCAATACCATGGTGTGCGCTGTGAAACTTTCATCCTCCTTAAAAATATATTGCAGCGGAAATCACAGATGGAGAGGTTGAACGGCTTTGGTATACGATTTTTTTACTATTTCTTTCTTCATCATTTTTTTCCCTGAATCTTCTCATCTTTTCTTTTCTTTTTTTCCCTTCCTTCTTCTTCATCCCTCATCTTCTATTCATCCATATTCTTCGTCTCTTTCTTCTGATGGCTGGTTTTTTTCATTTTAATTTTGTTTCCTGCAACCCGGTGACCCGATTAACCCAGCGGGTTGGCCGGTTTTTTTCGAGTTAATCTCGAGTTAACCGAGTTACACTGGGTTACTGTGCTTCTGATTTACTTTTTCAACCGGACCGGCCGGTCAGACCGGTTAAACGGTTAACCGGTCTGACCGGCCGGTCCGGTCCGGTTTTAATACCATGCAAATCAAAGTTTGTTGATATAAGGCAGAAAAATAAGTACGTTAATATCATAAAGCAGTCATCGGAAATGCAGGGGTGGAGTGAGTGAGAGGTAGTTTGCAAGTTGGGTTAAATCACTTGATTGTCGTGAACGCGACCTGTTTTGTTTGCAATTGATTGACATTTTCCAGAGGTGGATGATCTTACAACGTATTTCTTTATATTTTTTGATAAACTGTTTCAACGAAATTAAGGATTTCCAGAGACCTGAGTGATGAGGCCAAAGTTTTTCATGAAGCTTAAGATACTTAACTTTAATCTAAGTAGTTCCAGTTTCGATGTCGTACAGTTAACATATCAGGAAGAATTTGTTGCTCGATCAAAACGGAAGATAATCTATCTAAAGCACAAGAATTCAATCGGTGCAAAACTTTCTCTATTGTCCTGCACGTGATTTATTTCACTCCATATATAATGCCTTCGTAACTCTGAATTCCTATTTTATGAGGAAGCATACTATTGGATGACATTAAATTAAAAGCAAAGAAAGACAACCACCATTGAACCAGATGTTGGATACATCGTATGAAAAAACTATACTACAAAATTATTTTTATATATATTTTTTTGGCATCAGGCAATGGAAAGAATGAGAGAAACGATACCAAATGCGCTATCAGTTCCAACGGAGGATGGATGGCACTTGGCATCTGTTGAACTGATATAAAGGAGAATTTAAGCAATCAGAGAACGGGGTGATCGCCACTTACCGTGTAACCATCCTTAAAAAACGTGGGACGATTGATAAAAAAATGCTACAGAGCAATCTTTTCCCTTTCCGTTCCGATTGAAGAGCCATGAACACACGGAGAGTCAACTTGTGGCAGAGTTCTCCTGAGCCATAATGACCTAGAGGTAGAGCAGATGATTGCTTGAGCCAACCTTAAATCACCCTTGTATTGTAAGACCCGCATAACCCACACTTATGGTACAGCCAATGGAATGGTGCACTCCCCTTCTTATCGCAATCATTACATAGTATATCCTGGCAAAACAAGATCAGATCTACCAAATTGATTTCCATCCATCCTTAAACGGAACCAATAAATTGATCCTCTACATTTCTCTCTTTCTCGCACTTCATCTGACTTGGACACGTTTGATTTTGATTTAAAGGTATTAATTAGTATCTTCTGATTTATACGATCAAACTAACTAACAAACAAAGTTTTCAATAATCTTTACAAGGGTGCTAGAGATATTTTCTAACAAAACTATAAATAGGATTATTCACCAAGGCCAGATTTCAGCTCTTCCGCTAAATTTCTCGTATCTTTGGAAAACATGTTCAAATGCCAAAAGTACCATGGTTGTCTACCTTATAATGTTCGACCAAAAAATAAAAGTCTACCTTATAATGGCTGGCTGCCTGGCTGTGAAAACTACCATGAGAACATAGTTTGGGAATCTAAACACTCTTTCTAAGAAGGATATGACTTAGAATTAAATTTAACCCACATGCTCACAATCCGGCAAGAAAATATAAAAACCTTGACAGTTGATGGTAACGGCTCGTAATCTTAAGCTGGGTTGATTGTAATTTTTCAATAAAAAATAGCTAGTGTAGCCTTTGAAAGGTTAAGGTAGCTTACGTGGTTCTTTGGGACTGACATTAGTTTTGATATATCTTACCTGATGACGATTCCGATATTCCTCAGGGAGTTCCTCAGAAGCCAACAGAGCATCAAGCATGCCAAAATAAACCTACAAATGATCAATGAAGCAAAACAAAGTTTAAAAGTCACTTTTGTTGAGAGACAATGAACAAAATCTTCCTCAAAAGGTTGCAGGAAGGTGAAAACATGCTTCATATTCGGCATCTTGCTTTCAAGTTAAAATTCAAACATAAATACATAATGAGGAAAAAGTACGTATTTTCTGATGAATAATAATTGTCTCTTAAAGGTTTCCTGTCAGATTAAATACATTTTAACATCATGTTTTTACTTATGGTTTCTGTTAATACAATTTTGCAATCCTTGTACAACTCTGCTTAGTTGAGTAAACATCCCATGTAGATTGTAGAGTGTAATGTGATTGTTGTCTACACAATACAGAACATCCATCAAGTGAAATTCTCATCAAGGAATTGCTATCATCCAAATGATTCTGATGCTCATGGTTAAAATGTCAGCAACATGGACAGATAAGAATGATTGAATAAAAAATTTTAATGGGATGTGAAGGGGAAGGGATTACCATATTATATCGATGCCGCAAAAAATAACGACATATATAATTGCATTATGAAGTTTTATATAAAAGATGGTGTATCTCATACCGCCATATCTCCCAAAGATTTACGACAAATTGGACAGGTGTAGTGACTACAAGTATATGCCTGCAAAGAGGGGGGAACAACTGCAGAATTTATCATGTCTATACACAAAATTGCATTCTACAATCTGAAAAGAAAAGAAGCAAAAGAGGATAATGACCTGAAAGCAAGTGGAATGCATGAAATGTCCACAAGGAAGAGCTCTGACAGATGTACTAGATGTGAACAAAAAATCACAGCAGATAGGGCAGTTTGTTTCTAAGCTTTTTTCCTGGCACTTGTGATCAACTAATTTCATTGACAAGCAACAATTACACTGCATGCAATGGAAAGAATCAACACCAAGTCCTTTCCCCAGACGGCATATATTGCAGAAAGGGCAATGGTAAACTGTCCTGTAAAAATCATTATTTTTATCAGTATCACAAATGATTCAAGACCATCAATAAAGAATTGAACTCAGTTCTGAAATTATGAGAGAATTCAGGATGAATATAGGACTTTAATCCAATTTAACAAAAAGAACAAATTTTACTATCTTCAGTTCAAGGTTCTGTAATTTACATGAGACCTGTAAATCATAAAACCACAGAATTTGCAACAAGCTTGACATATACAAAACATAGAAACAAGCAACATGATGAAGTTGTTCTATGAAAATGGTTTCAGAGGTAAATCAATCATCTCACTTTTAAGGTTACTGGGTTCTATCACTGAACATTTTAAGAGGAGAGAAGAGAGAAAGGTATTATAAAATCATATACCTTTCGTCATCAAAAAACTTGCAAATACTACAGTAGTACTTTGCCATTGACAGACCACCACAAGAAGATGTTGCACAAACTGGTCCAATTGGCTGTAATTGCAGGCAGCGCATGCACATCATCTCAGCTGTAGCCTTCCTACAAGCACATTACTATATAGTTTATATATGGTAAAAGATTAGGTCAAAAAGAAATTTTACATGCAGAAAATTACCTATCCATGGAATGGTCACTGACTTTGTCATGGCAGAACCTGCAGGAGAATAGCTTTCCACAGCAAGCAGCAAGAAGTTTACAATTTCTTCTGTAATGCTCACAACCAAAGATTTTTTTCTCTGGATCATGATAGGAAGGTAATCTTTCAAGTACATCTTCTCCATTTCCAAATTCATCTGCTGTTGCTTTAGATGACTTCTGCTGAGAAGCTATCCAGCGACTAAGGAAGCCAAATAATAGATTAAAAACAACGAAATGGAACTTGGAGGTTTATAAAACATTAAAGAAGAAACAGACCTAGTCAATAGATTTTGAATAAGATAGGATTTCCTTCTTGGATCAAGAGTTGAATCTTGAGAAACTTTTCTAATTTCTGATTCTAGTTCATTCTGGTTCATCCTGAATATATCTTTCCACCCGGGCCTGAAAGCTTGAAAGCTATGATCCAAATTTCCAAAGGCGTCAGCACCTAAATTATTAAAAAGTCGAGTACATTAGAAAGTATCCAAACATATCATAACATTTTAAGTTTGATCTTGAAAAAATACAACAGGGGATTCGCTGAAGAGATCACAAATACTGGAAATAGCAGCTAACCTAGTGAAACATGGTCACTGGGTGTAGTTGTGTTTGAAAATGAAGCAGGTCCTTCCCACCATTCATTAAGCCACTCATTGAACATGGTGTTTTTTGTAGCCTGCTTCCATGTGTCCATCATTTTGTTTTGCTCCTCTTGTGTGAGAGCAGAAGTTACCCATGGCAGCATTGATTGAAGAACCTCTGCCCCAGTAGTACCAATTATACAACCAACAATTTTATCCTGTTCTTCTACAGAGAAATGCACGTCAAATAGCGGCCATAGTTCAAGTTCCTCACGGAAGATATGTTGATCTAGCGTTACTCTAATGGATTTGCACATGCCCTGAATCTTTGTAACTAACTCATTGTACTTCTGTATGGCATCAGAGCAATCAGAATAATCAGCGCAGAAGCTGGTAAAATGATCAGATGAATTCTTATTATTCAAGGATTCATGTAAGTGACTAAGCTCTGACAGTCCAGATGAAATATCAACAAATAATTTCTCTTCCTGCTGATGGTCCAAAGTGTAGGAATGACTCACATTGTGAAGATTTTCTTTTGATTCTAATGCCGGAAATACTATATCATCCTCTGCATTGCTATGAGCTCTGTACAAACCCCACAATAAGCGAAATCTACCAGTGAACTTCCTCAGGAAATTTTCATCACAATCAAACAGTTTTCCAGATTCAACATCTATATACTCCAAGTCTTTACATATGGCTTTATGAAATTTAAATATGTTATCAATAGGGCGTGTTTTGAACCCATTGTCAGAAGAACCAACATCTGTTTCCCAGACAAACAGACTAGAGTTAAGTGAAGGCACAGAGCAATCAGATAAGGATCGCAGAGATTTTGTAGAGACTAATGAAGATGCTCCCAGATGACTTGCATTTACCCCTAATCCAGGGACACAGCAAGTCTGATTATCAGGTAAGTTAAAAGATTCTCTAAGTCCAGTGCAGGAAGAAACACCATTCCCATCCCCAGTTTTGGCTTTCCACATTTGACTGGTCCGCTACTTCCATATACATTGTCTTGTTGAATGGATGAGTATTTTGTCTCGGGACTGAACGAAGGTGCACATATGCAGAATGATGGGCTAGTATTCTCTATCTCCGATAGTTTCCTGGCAGAACACAAACCTGTTTTACTTGAGAAGGAACTATTGTTTCTGGATTTTCTTTTGCATGCCCAACCAGAAAACAGTGTTATTAATGCATAATCTGTTGTAGGGGCTGCATCAATAAAAATTAAAGTTAGAAACAGAAGGGAAACTTGAACACATTATTTGAGGAGGGGAAACACTACACCTGCCATATACATATTCAGTAGAAATAACTTTGCTTCATCTTCACTAAGAAATCCAACGAGCCACGGGATTACAGATTCAATCAATTTCAAAGGCATTAAGCGCAAACTTTCATAAAGTAATTCTCGTTGTCTTTGGGGGGTAAAATGTTTTCGTGCAAGTGGTAGAACCTATCAATATGAGATGTTGTTAGAGAGATCATAATGACAGCAAGATATGCCCAATCACAATGCTAATGTCTTGATGCTGCACTGAATCACATAAATAAAGTTCTAGTGAAAGCATCCTGGGTCTTTAGACAGAAAGACATCAAAGCGCGGAAAAGGTTTGGTTGATTTAGACCCCATTCCAATAGCAGGCAGAATTCTTGGTCACTTTTAAAAGTTAAAACAGAGATGAGTTCACCTGAGCTTCCTCATTGTCAAAGTGCTTCAGTATGGTGTCCTTTATTTGTTCAGTGTGAGACCTCAACTTCATGTAATCTTCAGTAGATGATGAGTTGACTTCAGCATTCTGAATTCCTTCCATCAGGGATCTAAGCTTGTCAAACTGAAGTTCCTCATCGGCATGCTCATCGAGAAAAGAAACCTCTGCATCTATAGCAGGGAATATAACTTTGTCCTCAGCAATGCTGCAGCCAAAAAAATGAGAACCTCACATATTATGTCCAATGAAAAAAAGGATATATGATATCATATTGGTGTTCATCATTCTCTCTCTCTCTCTCACTGCTTTTTTTTTTTTGTCTTTTCGATCTTTTTTCCCCTTTTGTTACAAGAGCCTCATTGTTAGACTGGACTTTCTTTAGAAGATGGGAACTTCACCAAAGTGAGCTAGGGAGGGCAAAGAAACCCTGAAGGTCACATTATTTCCATACTGAATAATCCAAACCATGTAATAGGGACGGGTTAGGGGTATGACTTCTCTATGACTTCAATAAATAAGCAGGAAATTATTTCCTGTGACTCACACAGTCACACTCTTTGTATACAGTCTGAAACATCATTTAATGCAATTCAAAAGGCCGCCAGACCATGAACCTTCTCACAACAGAAATTATAATAAAGAGGATAAAGATCACACCTATGAAAGATGCAGACTTCAGTAATAAACTGCAACCTCCCATTAAATGCAGACAAATCAGAAAATTTTCCAGAACGTTGTATCTTCCTAACAGCCTCAGTTAAATCAATCATCTCTTGTTTTATAGCCTTATGCCAAAGTAATATTTCATCTATAGGGCATGATGAAGAAGAACTGGTATCGTCAATGCTTAGCTCCGTCCATTTCCTTTTTCCACTTTCGGAAGGTTCACAACCACAATACACCTTTTCAGAACAACTGATTAAGTCATACGTCCCAACATTATCACAACGAGCCTTGGCATCATTTGTGCAGCTTCTACATTTAATCTTTACCCCTTCCACCCATCCAAAAACAACCTTGACAATCAGAAAATTCAAGCTGAAACACTATTCTGATTTGATCATTATGCAACAGCGTTTAATCAAATAACAATTACCTGTTGAAGAAGCTTCTCTTCAGGGATTATTGAGCACAAGCACTTAAGCATATCCTGATGTTCATCAGATGATACATACAAGGCAAGCCAGGGAAGAAATTCTGCCATCATTTTAACTGGCAAGCTGCAAAGAAATTGCCACACCAGTGATGCCTGCTCTTTAAATGAAAAGTTCTCAATAACCAAGGGGAAGACCTGCCCAAAGCAATGACTTGATATTGGATTTTTGTAGAAGTTGGTATCAAAAACTCTACACTAATATATACCATAAATATTAAAGGATATCCACATATATCATATCTGGAAAGGCATACTTTCCATAACAGCATCAATTCGATTTTTCGTGCATAGAGAAAATTTACATGGGTTAGTTTGTAACTAAAATATCTCTATTCAACTGCTGAAGCCAAAAAGGTCGTCAAAAGAAAAGAACTGCGTCTACTGAAGATTCTTCAATTGTTTAAACTTTACTATGTGTTTGGTTATATTCAGGCAAAACAAAACACTTAAATGAAGGCAGGAGACAGGAAAAGGTCAATTCAAGACATTATGCAAAGAATATCCTTGAAAGTTGAATAGAATATTCAAATTTACCCACTAACACTGAAAATCTGGTAAAACAAGGAATGAACGATGCCACTAGAATCATCATATATTTACCTGCTCCTCTTCCTTAAACATATGCTGGCTAATTGATGTTCGAAGGGCACCAGTACAAGAAGCTAATTCTCTACGGTAGCCCTCATACTCTAGCAAATTAGAATTTAGCAGCTTGAACAATTGATCAAATAGAAGACCCTCTCCCTCATGCTCCAAGAAATATGTGCGCGCAACATTCTTCACACGTATATCTAATGCAGGAAATATGACCTGTGAATTCAAAGTAGACATGATAGAAAATTGGATGAATCATATGTAATTATACTCAAAATTGAAGAGTGCCAGATTTTAGCAAGTCATGACGTAATAATGTAATGTGAATTTGTAGCTGCAATTAGGATCTGAAGTATCAGCGATCACATCAAAATGACGGTTTTTCCTCAAGTACATAGCACGTGAGTCGAAGTTAAACTTCATTTTAAGCGTTCAAACTTGCACTCATCTGATATCCAATTAAAGACTCTCCATAGCATCCTTATCATTTTTTGTCTGCTTCTTTTCCTTTAAAATTGAGCTGCATTCAAAATGCTAACACTGAAATTAATATCATAGAGTATTCAGGTCTTTCCTTTTTGGTTGTTCAATTCAAAAATATTATGGCCTCCCATTAACACGATGTTACTGCAAACTACTTTAACACGTACAGGCAGATAAATGAAAAACGCATCAAGGAGAGGATAGGTCCTACTAACATTACTCATAGGAACCATAAAAATATTTGGAGTGTTTCACATAAGATAAGATTTAAATGAAACAGAGAAGCAATCTACCAGACTCTCTCAGAAAGCTGACTTTCGATCCACACTATGAGTCTATATTGTTTACAGTGGCATTGTAGTAACCATGATATCGCAACACGCAAGATACAGGCAAGTTATCAACGGTCCAATTTGATGGCTAAGACGGTTTAAAAAGCAGAGGATGAAGAAGAAGAATCCTTAGTGCTGTATTTTTTTTTTAAAACAACAAAAAAGTAAATATCGATCATTCAATGGTGGATAACTCAATATTTTTTTTACCAAAGGCACCAGTCTCAGTCTTGAAAAGAAAAAAAAAAGAAAGAAAAAGAAGAATCCCATCAACTCCACTAACCAACGCACCTCATCCTCCGCATTACAATGATGCTTATAGACGGTACGAAGAAAGTGACAGCGGTCGAACAAGGGTTTGATATCAGATGCTGCAGCTTGCTGGTTAGTGGCAAAATCCAAGGCGGCTCGATGGAGGCTATCGAGCTCAGAGCGAATAGCTTTATGAAAGAAAGAGAATATCAGAATCGGCGATTTGAGGGGCGAGTTCTTTAGGCAAGTCTTGGAAGGTGAAGAATCAACTGCGTTCACAGTGCCATTTATTATAGCCAGAGCTCCGTCTGGCATCGCCATTATCGCCTGAAATTTCAGGCGTCCAAAAACCTCCAAAATTTTCCGAGATTTCGTTGAAACTGTTTCGGCGTCTCTGCAAGTATTCTCCAATCTCTCTCTTCTTTGAGCTTTTCTGCTCTCCAACTTTACTGTGAGCTTTCTGCAGCTGTGAGGACAGAAGAGCGTCGAGAAAAGCACGAATGAGTGGCTTCGCTGTCGTGTGGTCGATAAAAGAGGGCGAACATTATATAGTTGGCTCACGTGGCTCCACTCCTCCACGTGAACTAATTTTCACCTTCTGCTTCCGAGAAAATGCCAAATGCCATTAGAACTCTTCACTCGAGACGGATTTTCTGATCCTACCTAATTACTCACCATGGTTATTCTCACACTTTTTTTATAAATTATTTCTACCCTTCTCATTAATATTAATATAAAAAATATAAAATTACAAAATATATAAATATATAAAATTTTAAATATACCTCTACATAAAAAGTTTATAAAATAATATCATATTTTATATCATAAAAATAATTTTAAAAATATTTTTTAAATATTATTTAAAAAATTACATTTTAATTTATAAATAAGATTAAATAGATCTTTTAAAATATAACTTATAAATAAGGCTAAAAAAAAGTATTTATCTATTTTACCTAATTACTCATAAATTTAAATAATAAACATTTATCTCTATTAATAAATACTCTTTTAAATATATAATTAAATGATTAAAATATATAACAAAATTATAATTTAATTTAAATATGTTTTAAATTTAAATTATTAAAATTAAAATCATTTTGATTAATTATCATACTCAACAAAACTTTAAAAATATGACAACTTAGAACTTGTTTGGCTTCTATTTTTTTAAAATAATTTTTTATTTTAAAAAAATTCATTTAAATAAGTGTTTTGAACTTAATTTTTTTCAAAGTTATTTTATTTTTATTTCAAAAATAGAAATATTTTAAATTTATTTTAATTTTTTTTATTTTAAAATATATTACATTCTATTTTTTTAAAATAATTTTTTATTTTAAAAAAATTCATTTAAATAAGTGTTTTGAACTTAATTTTTTTCAAAGTTATTTTATTTTTATTTCAAAAATAGAAATATTTTAAATTTATTTTAATTTTTTTTATTTTTAAAATATATTACATTTAATTATTAAAAATTATAATTATCTTAAATGATGACTATCATAACTCATCATCATTGGTCATCAGTAATCATTACTATAGGTTAATTTTTTAATTCTAAATTAACATAATCCAACAAATTTTCTTTTTGTTTTGTTACAATTTTTAAAACAAAAAATGAGAATACAAACAAACAAGCTCTTATTTTTGTATTTCTTGTCTTCTCTATTGATATCAGTTTTTTTAATTTAATTTTTTTTAAAACGGGCTCTACAGCTTTTATGAATTGAATTCTACACCATGTACACTTAAGTCAACCAATTCAATAAAAAAACTTGGCAAGTTTAACCAAGTCAAGTTTGATAGAATTTAAATCTAATTTAAATTTATGATTGAGTTAACATGATCTTGTAAATTAAAATTGCAAAAAAAAAAAGTTACAGTGCGAACTTGCAAACTTGACAACAGTGCGCGTGACCATTAATTTATTTATATTAAAAAATAAGTATAAATAATTAATATATAGAAATGGAAAAATAATTTATTATTATTACATAAAAAATCACTGCAATACAATAAACTAAGCAATCTTATTAGTCTATATTTGCGGAGAGAGAAAACCAAATTTAGTCTGACCCTTCACTCGTTGTTGGAAAAAGTCTATCATATTGGCATACCAAAGAGTTACGTACCATGTTTTCGTTTGTTTTATATTAAAACGTTTTAAATTTTTGATCTCTATCACATCTATCTCACCCTATCTTTATTACTTGAGTCAGCATTAGATGGCTAATACCACGTTTCTTATTCTACTCTATCTTCTAATCACAAAGAAAAGGTTACCAAGGCAACTAATTTTACTGTTCTTGTATCGAAGCCAATTAAAAAACAAATTTATTTGGATTTGTGCAATAAATATTAAACTTCCATTACATATTCTTGCAGTTTAAGCCTATACTATTATTATCCTCGTAGATTATTGATTACTGAATATTGATATCGAGGCTACTACGTTATGTGATTGTGTCACGTTAATATTAGAAACCCAGCCTCCTATAATTTAAACAAGAAAATTATATATCTTTGAGAAAGTATAATAAGTATTTGAGCCAAGTGACTCCTTTTTTAAAAAAAAAAAAAACTATTCTTCATTGCGCATAAATAAAAAGGAAGAAAATATTTGTTTAATTTTTTTTTTAAATATTGTATATCAACATGGACAGACTACCAATAAAATAGGATGACAGGAGGGAGATGTGATCATTATTGCTGTCCTTTACATTTAATATATAATATAATATAATGTATGTGAAAACATATAAAATTGTCTCAGAACAATAATTATTATACAAAACTAATATTTTTTTAACTTATATATATTTAATAAATTATTATTAAATACAACGATCAGTGATATTCATATCAAAGAATGTGGTGGGAGAACAAAGAGAAGCATGGGAAGGGTGGAGGACACGTGTACAGCACGTGCGAGACAGTATCCAATTGTGGTCGTGCCATCCCACTGTGCCACTGCCCGCGATGTCCACTAAGCCTCCTTGCTATGATGTGTCAGGAATAAAATATTAAAATTATTTTTGTTGAATGATGTGTCAGGAATCTCCTTGATATGCATCATAATATTTAAATCCGATAACTCCATGGGTTAAAACTAATAAATCCTTGATCTAAGTATCTTAAGAGATTATTTATCAAAATGTTTTCTTCAAAACTGGTTTAATATTAATAGTAATTCAATTGCAGTTTTAACTTTTAATTTTTAAACCAATATATTAATTAATTCAATAATCAGTTTAATTTTTAAAATCTTAGCATGCATAACACCAAATTTGTAGAAATTTGGCCCCCAAAAAAAATGAAGTAGAAATATATATTTTCTCTATATTCACTCACGAGTTCCTGAGCAGCCCTTTCTAATAACTTAGTGAACTAGAGCTGGTAATTTCACTTCTAAAAAATTTATTATTTTTGAAGGTCATTAATGTCAAAATATGTGTAATTGACGATCAATATTAGTTTTATCAATGCCATCATTAGGAAGTGATGAATAAAATATTGTTAAAAATAATAGTATTGACAACAAGTGGTTATGAATAAAAAAATTTATATATTTTTTTACAATCATTAATTGTCAAAAATTCTCATACCAAATTAGTATTCAATTTTTAACAGCCATTAATAATGATGATTATAAAATACTTTTGACACCTGTAAATGAAGTCGTTCAACAACTTTGACTGTCAAAATACATAAATAGTAAACTTAATCTTTTTTACCAATTGTAATATTTAATCAAAATATGTTTAATATTATTCTATATATCAATAGTTTCTTGGTTAATAAAATTATATTATGAGTTAGCATATGCATATGGATATACAAGTATTTATTCTAAAAAAGAATATACTCTCTTCATTTAAAAATATAAGGCATTTTTTAAAAGGTTAAATATTTAAAAATGTAAGATATTTTTAGTCTTTCAATGTATAATTATTGTTTTTTTAAGTATTCCTATTAAATAAATCACTTTATATTTATTTCAAGATGAGACACTCTATTAAATGAGAATAAATATGAAAAGATAGGGTTAATTTAAAAATAATTAACTACTTTATGGGGATACAATTGAATTAAAAATGCCTTATTTTTTTAATGTAGAGGGTATCTAATTGAGTTCATTGTTTATATTTGTATAAACTTAAACCAATAAATAATAAGTATATAAACAATAATTGTTTCAAGTATCGCAATGTTGTAATGTATCATTAAAAATATAAGACATTAAACTACAACATATTTAAATGTCTGCAAAATTTTATCTAAAGTTAAGAGATTTTCCATGCATAGGATCTCAAGCATTTCCATGAAGCTCAACCACTTACCTTATGCAAAATAATACACATAAATTTTTTTTAAACACAATGAAAAATGAATCCAATATCTCAAAATCAAGAAGAAAAATAACTAAACATTACATCGTATACTTTCTTTTTCTTTTTTTTGGTGAATCATTACATCGTATATCTTCAAATCATAACAATATGTTAAGATCTATAAGCCTTTCAAATTGGACCAAGTAGCCTGCAGTATAAATGCATTTTTATCCTTTCAAGTTTCACGTTGTCACGATGAAAAGTGATAAAACCATTTGGGGCGGAAGTGGGTAGACAAAATTTTATCTATAAGATTGTAGGCAATTAAAAAATTAGAATAGTTATTTAAAAATGTTTTGAGTCACATCAAAAGATACTCCAAATAAACAAATCCTCCGTAATGAACAAGTCAGAACTAAAAAAACATAAATTTGTAAATAAATACTCTCTCTATTTAAAAAAATAAAATATTTTTAATTAAATTTTATTTTTAATAAAATAATTATTTATTTTTAAATTAATTCTATCTTTTTATATTTATTTTTATTAAATATTTTATAATAAATATAAAGTCAATAATTAATAGGAGTACTTTTTAAAGAAATAATAATTATACCTCAAAAAATTAAAAATATTTTATATTTTTTAATATTCAACTCTCCAAAAAATACTTTATATTTTTTAACAGAAGAAGTAGAGAGAAAGGAAATAAGGACTAGCAACAAGCAAGGTGGTTTTTGGTTTGGAGGAATTAGGAAGACATGACTACTATCTTTTATATTTATATCTATGTAAAGCATTATTATTACTGTTCATCTATACTTGAATAAGTAATAATAATGATATAAAAAATATTTTGTATGTTAAAATGTCATGTGTTGTTGTTATTGTTAAAATATCATTTGGGCTTCATGATAGAATGATAGGTATGAGATATATTATTTATTGGTTGTATTTTGTATAGGTATGAAATGGAATGTTTTATTTTTAAAATTTTAATTTATATGAGAATAACATATATAGAAATAATAAATTATTTTTTATATTTTTAATATATACAGGTACCAAATTTTTATATATGATTGTTTACGATCTAAATTCTTTGAAATTAATGTCTATGAATTTCTGTGAAATTTTCCTTTTAAGGAAAACAAAGGAAAATT